CGCACCTGAGCACAGACACCTGGAGATCATACAACTTCAATGTTTGCCTTACATATGAGATTAGGCATTTCTGATACCACTGATGGCCAGCATGTACTGCCTGTGTTCTCCACACCAGAGGCCAATGGGGTAGGTAGGACCCTCATTTTACAGATGAGAAACTGAAGCACAGAAATGAAGAGACGTGCCCAAGGTCCCACAGCCTCCCATGCCAAGCTGGGAACAGAGCCCAGGGCTTTTGTGGTCACGTAAGTACTCTGCTGACCCTTTACCAAAAGAAGGTAAGTCCCTGGCTCTTCCTCTAGACTAGAAGACGGGTAAAGATGTGAAGAGGCAGGAAAGGTGCCTGGGACCACAGGAATGCCAATGTCCGGTTAAGGTCAGTAGTGGACAGCTGTTTGAAAGGCCTACCCAGGTGGTCCCATAGCAACACTTCCTCTTATTCCTTCCCAAAGTGGGCCTTGATCTCAGTGGAAGAGTTCTGGGTTTATTCTGGACCCTGGGCTCAGGCTGGCCTGGGACCACCTGCCCCTCTACTCAGAAGCCAGAGCAGGACCAAAGGACTTTATTTTTCTAAGGCTTTGAGAAGTGTGACTGAAAGATTGTTTCCTCAATCCTATTTGTGGGAGGCAGTCAGGGGTTTTCTTTACTGAGGAAGTACCAAGCACTGACCTCAAAGAGAGGCTGAGAAAGATGGGGTAGGACTGAGCTGCAAGTCACATGGCCCTGGCAAGCCAGTAGTTCTTTAACCCTTCCTCCTCTACCGCATCCAAGAGCTTTCTTTGCATCTTTTGATCCTGAGTTACTGTCATTCTCAACTGCCAAGAGGCAATAAACCAGTGGAGAATTCTGAGTAGGAGAGACCTTATAAAGCTGTGGTAAGCACTGACCAGTGGAGAGGCTGGATGCAACCCCCACACCCCCTAAAATTAACTGTGATGGCTCCACCTGGATGCCTCCCTGACAAAGGAGACAAGCGGAGCCTGAAACTGAAGCACAGAGTGAAAAGCAAGGGCAGGGTCTTTGCCCTTTAGCTCTCTGGGCTGCAAGCCTCATCCCAAGGCAGGGTGACAAGCACTGCAGCCTGGGCCATGAGGGGAGCAGACTGCCAGCCTCAAAGCAGCCACGGCTGAAGCCAGGGCCTGCCTGGGAAGACCAGCAGGCAAGAGCTGACCTGGCATGAGATCAGAACTGAGCCACCTCCAGCTCACTCCCCTTAGTTCATGAAGCCACAATACAATGAGCAGCCCTCAACCTCCTGTCGTCAGAGTCACTTGAAATGCTGGGCTCCTTTTTAAACATGGTAGACCCTATGGAGCAACCAGGGCTTCAGAGGCTTTTAGCACTTCACCCCTGAGAATTTGCTCACTGCGGTCTGGTGTCTATCTCATTCCCCAGCTATTGTTGTCGACTTAGCAAACCTTTGTTGAGTGCCTACCTCTGGAGCCAGCCGTTTTGCAAAGTTCAGAGAGATCTGGTTCTGGCCTTCTAGAAACTCAGCGGAGGGGAACTGTACATGAGACTCACTATAGTGTCTCTGCTCGCTGTACTAGGGGTGGAAGGGCTCTGGAGCAGATGGACATCAGTGGGAGTTCTGCCTTTGCTCCTTACTAGCTGACTTAGCAAGATTACTTCTCTAAGTCTCAGTTTCCTCACCTGGGACATGAGGACATTAGCTGAACACACTTCACAGGATTAGTGTGACTATGACATGAGGAAATCCACGCAGTGTTGACTTGACCACAGTGCGTGGCGCAAGGTAAAGTCTCGACAATGTTGCCTATGATTTCACTTTCAGGTAGGAATCTTTTTTCTCATCTCAAGGGGTTCTCTGAGCCCTAAGAAGAGCTATAATCTCTAAGATCTTGACAACAAGGATCAGAGTAGCAAAGCTGGCATTCCTTCTAGAATCAAGAAGTCATAATTCTACTATGGCTGGGCTATCACATAAAAAAGACCCTTTCCTAACATGAAACCACTCCTGCCAAGGGAAGCAGGTGAGCGAGTGAGAAGCTGGCCCCGCCTCTGCCCTGAGTACCCAGAGGACCAAGTGTGCCTGTTCTTCCCTCCTCCCGTTCCTTAACTCCTTCCTCCCAGCAAAGGCCCAAGGAACAGCTGGCAAACCCGTACCACATGGTGCCAAGGACTGAGGGAAGCTCACACTGCCAGCCTCACACTCCATTCAGCTCCTCCCGTACCAGTGGGTTACTGTAACCATGGAGACCAACAAGTTCCTCCATATCACAGGAGAGCCAGCCTGCTAGCAGCCCAGGGCTCTGGGGGAGGCAGAAGGCAGCCTGCAGCAGAAAGGTTTGGCTCATTTTACAGAGGATTGTTGGGAGCTAATGGAGACTAACCAGTGCAGCTGAGGTTCCTGGGCCTCCCTCTAACTTCCTTTTCTGTGAAAATAATTTGTTTTTAGCATACTGTCTGGTGGTATCTGGTGTGGTAGTGAAGGGCGTCCTTTGGAGTTAAACAGACCTGCAGGGGGACCCCAGCTCCACCACTCTGGGGCAGTGTAGAAAAGGGATCAGAACTGTGAAACGAAGAGCTACAACAGATACATGCTAAAAGCAAAGCACCAGCTATCATGTGATGCCTTCTTTTCAATGGTCCAGGTAAACAAACCCTCTCATCCCTTTTGTTCAAAGAATCACCCAGACACCTTCTTAGTTGAGAGTGATCTCTCCCTGTTCTGGACTCTCACACCCTCCTATCTGCACCCATTCGTTGCTTCTGACTTTGTGTTTCCATGAGCTCTGAGCGATCAGAGACAGTGGCTCGCTCACTCTTAGTGCCTAACAGTGCCTGCACCTAGCTGGTCCATGTTAATATACTTACAGAATCAAAGAGGTACAACTTTTTGGTCCTTAAAGTCACCCTACCCCTGTATCCAACCAGGAGATAAGACAAGAGTAGAGGAAGGAACATCAAAACCTCCTGCCACAAGACCCCTTTCCCTCTTTCAAGATATTTGTTGCCCTCTGAAGTTGGTTGGTTATTGTCTGCCCGTCCCACTGTCTTATTCATGGCCCATAATAATGCCTAAGCACACAGCAGAAGTATTCAATAAGGTACTGAACAAAAAAATGTGTTCAAGTGAACAAGTGAGGAAATGTGTTAGGGCGTCACTGGTATACTCTGCAGACAACTTCCAAGGGGCAGTGGCTGCGAGATCCCCTCTCCCATGGACAGATGACATCTATGGAGCATTAGTTCCACTAGCAAGTTTTCTCAGGTGGGAATAAAACCTTGGTGTTCTCTCCTGACACAAAGCTCAAGGCAAAGGTGGTGACCAAGGTAAACTAGAGACAGATTCAGATACAGGCACAACCCAGGACAAGCACGCCCCCCTCTACACACATCGTCATTTCTGCCCCCTCAATCA